TGGGGGGGGGGGGGGGAAGCGGGCTGTTGTGGAAACTCAGCCATCTTGTAGTTTAAGAGTGCCTCCCCATGCGTGCAAACCATAAACAACCCATGTTTGTCCCGGCTGAGATTCTGATGGGAATGTCTGCCTAACATTTCAGGCTAAGAAATCCAAACTGAGCCCAGGGGAGGCGGTGGAATTCCTCTCCCCCAGAGGTCTGTTTCTGTGTCTTCTGTAGCCTCTTCCTTTGATGTAGGCCTTGTGGACTTTTTTTCTTTCTTTTTTTAATGAATGGCTTATTGCATTGGGACAAGCCTCTGTTCTAACGTCAGGAATACGTGCAGACAAAGATCTCAACCGGTATTTCAACATATTTCTTCATCGCCGTCTGGTTTAAGTTGTGGATTTGGGTCCGATTGCAGTCCCTTGGCAAGGGGTGCAGTTCTGAAGTCAACCTGGCCCTCTCCAACCTGGTGCCCTCCAGATGCTTGGCGTCCACTGTCTTGACCACTCGATGTGGTGGCTGGGATTGATGGGAGGGGTATTGATTGATTAATCCGAATCTGGTAGACCTCACTCCCATCATCCTAGCCCACTCAGGTGATTGGGCATTGATGGGGCACGCAGTCGACCTGGTGCCTAAAATCGGGTTTATTTCAATGCTGTATTTGAATTGCATTTTATCTAGATCGATTGAGTTATCACTTGACCTCTGTAAGAAAGAAGTACTAAGGATTATGAGTTACAATGCTTGGATGTTCCCTCCGAGATCAGAAACAGGAGGACTCTCTTGTTGTTTGGGGAACTACAAATGTGTCCACGCAAGGAGGTCCAGTCGCCTCTGCCCAACCTTCTTGAGAAATCAGCAAGACTTTTCATACACGATCCTGTCAGCTTGACCGCTGCTGGGTCACAGAAAAGCAAAGAATTTGCATGCTTCCCCCGTCCTAAAAGGAAAGCCGATGTGTGGCTTTAAAGAAGGCTTAGAGTATAAAAATTAGCTGGCTGTTAGGGAAAAGAGAGAACCGCTGCACGTGGTTTTCAGCTTCCTGGATTCTGGGATTTTCAGGGTGGAGCCTCCATGTTTAGAGACACTGTACCTCAAAGGCCCAGTTGTTGGAAGGGATGGCAAGCCACGGGCACAGAAATCACCTTCCTACTTTGCTTACAGGCTCTGTTAGAAAGCGCTACTCATCCCAAGATGCTTGGTTTGGGGGAGCAAACGAGGAGGACCTAGAGGCCTTGCTTGGAGGAAAAGGGCCAGGAGTGATCTCTCCATGCTCCTAAATGCAAAACAGGCAGGGAGTGGTCTTGGTTTCTGACTCACTGCATCCAGAAGCTGGCTGGCAGAGTTGATGGTATGTGAGTGGATTCTGCTCTGTGGCTCTGTGGGTGTGAGTGTGTGTGTATACAAGCACGCAGAGCAGCCTTCTTCCTTTCACGGAAGTTGGTGTTCCAAAGGAGTGTGAAAAGACCCATCCCAAACCTCTTGCTTGCCAAAACAAGCTTTGGAACAATAAGGGCTCTGGAGGGGAATCTGAGGATCTGGATTTTCAACAATTTACTTCCAGAAAGGAAAAAAAAAATAAATTGGACAGAAACAGCCAAGAGGGTGAACCTCACCCGTTGTCACAAAAAGGGTCGAAAGGTAGGATTGGGGGGAAAGGATTGGAGGCGAACCCAAGCGTGCTGTGTTTGCTTTCATTTAAATGTAGTGGTTTTTTTAGGAGGAAAAGGAGCTTTCTAAAAGTTTGGCGTCTGTCCCAGCTCTTCGTTTTCTGGAAAACTAAATGGAGAGCCTTTTTAATTATTGAGAAGCGACTCGGAGAGCCTCTCGCCCCTGAGCCCTCTGGGTTGAGATCCCCCCATCCCCTTTGCTTAGTCAGATTTGCCCCATCCAATTCCTTCTTCTCCCTTTTCAGTTGCTGCTGGAACAGGCCCTTTTGGGTTCCCCTTATTTTATTGTTTTTATTACTTCTCTTAAATTCCTTGAAGGAACTGTAGCCAGTACATTTCAGTTAGATAAGATGATTCTGAACTTTAGCAGCCTGGCTGATGGGTAGTGATGCTAGGAAGTGATTTATTTGGAGGGCCACCGCTGCCCCGTTGAGTTTTGCAAGAATTTGCCAACCCAGATGGTTTTAGGTTTGGGGCTAGAGCAGGAACTTGAGGTTCTCCAGAAGTTTTGGACTACTCCTCCCATGATCCCTTGCCACCTGTGATGGTGATAGGAGATGAAATCTCATTCTTCTGGAGGACACCAATGAAAGGAAGAGGTGTAGCGTAGAGGTAATGCACCACTTTTCTCTGGAGAAAGTCCTTGGCGTCCCAAAGAATTATATGGTCCAGCACTTCCTGAACAACAGCTAGTGTAACACCCTCTTTACGAAACACTATTTTAGGTGGGATTCGTTGTAAGTGTTGGAGCTTGGCTGTAGACTGTGCACACTGACAACAAAGTAGGATGGCTCTGAGCACGGGCAGAGTATTTTTCTTAGCATGCCATCCTGCTTCTTGCCACCAAACCTCTAGGTCGGTGTTTTTCAACCTTGGCAACTTGAAGATGTGTGGATTTCAGCTCCCAGAATTCCCCAGCCAGCATGGCTGGCTGGGGAATTCTGGGAGTTGAAACCCACACATCTTCAAGTTGCTAAGGTTGAGAAACACTGCTCTAGGTCTTCAAGAGAAGGATTTGATATTTTGCAAACATTTCTGCCTTGTTTTCAGCCTGAAATGCCCCAGGTCGTCTGAAAGAACGATGAAAAGAATAATGTCCTTGCCTTCTTGCTTAAGGCCCAGTTAGCTGATCAACAGATGAGTTTCCATGGGATTGATTTTCTCATGACTCGCGCTCTTCCTGCCCCAAAACTGGTGGTTTATTGAATTACCCCAGCAGGAAAACAAAGATGATGTATGTTCAACTGCTTTTTTGGGGGGGGCTAGGAAGATAAGTAGATGAGAATTAAGAAGGTGTGCTATGCAGCTGGTATATCGCTGAGCTCACCAGAGGGGGAAAAAAAGTGCAAGGAGATTGTTTTTGATGGATGACGTGCCATCCGCTCAGTGGTGACTATTAACAACCCCGTAGATCAATTTTCTCCAGGAGGATCTGTCCTTTCAGGTCTCCTCATGGTGCACCCATCATCACTGCTGTCATCAAGTCCATCCACCAGGCTGTTGCCATCCTCTTCTCTTTCCTTCCACCTTTCCCAGAATGAGGGACTTCTCGACAGAGCTGGGTCTTGGCATCATCTGTCCAAAATAGGATCATTTGAGCTTAGTACCTTGAGTGAGAACTCTTGTCATGGTTCATAAAATCATATGTGAAGAAAACACGACCAGAAGTAGGAACGTCCTCCTTAAAATGCTAGAACAGTGTTTCTCAACCTTGGCGACTGTAAGATGGGTGGACTTCAACTCCCAGAATTCCCCAGACAGCCATACTGTCTG